ACTACCGCAAAAGTATTCCCCGTCGGGACTTCCTGCAACAACACCACGCCGTTATAATACAGTGCTGAGAATGAACGCACTCTTGAACGCCGTTATGTACAGCGCTGAGAATGAACGCGTTCTCAATTACGTTCATCTAGCGGAAATACAGTACGTTCAGTTCACGTTCGCCCAAAATATGAACGCGTTCATGTACATTACTGCCTACGGATGTGTTCGTTAATATTAGCTGTGTGGTCCGGAGTGACTGTGGCACAGACTGGACCGCTGGAGAACAGCTGTTAGAACGGGGTGTTCAGAGCAGAGCTCCCTGTCGGAGCGGCAGAGCTTGAAGCGAACTGAAAATGTTTCTGGCTAACGTTAGCTTAGGTACTCAGATCTTGTTCTTGAGTAAACGTAGAAGTACCAGAGTGTAGGAATACTATGTTACAGTAAAAGTACTGCATTCAAAATGTTACTCAAGTAAAAGTATAAAGGTATTGTCATCAAAATATAGTGAAAATAGCGACAGTAGAAGTAGTCACTGTGCAGATTGGTTCATGTCAGAATAATATATATGATATGTTTTATAATGATTGATCATGAAAGTGTTCTCAAAGCTGGTGAAGGTGCAGCTAGTTTGAATGACTTTGTATACTGCAGGGTAGCTGGTGGATTTACTCCAGGTGGAACTAAAGTCTGATTCAACACTTGATTAGATTTCACATCATTCATCCACATCTGTAAAGTAACTAAAGGTATTAAATACATGTAGTGGAGGAAAAGTACACAATTTACCTCTGAACTGTAGTGGAGTACAAGTACACCATGTACCACTGAACTGTAGTGGAGTAGAAAAATAAAGCAGCAAAACATTTTAGATACTCAAATAAAGTACCAGTATCTCAAAATTGTGCCCAAGTATAGTACTTGTTGAGTCTATGAACTTAGTTACTTTACACCAGTGGCTATACAGATAGAAAGACTAAGCCTTGCACAGAGGCATGAAAATAGATTTTCAAAGTGCTCAAAAGTTCTGCCAATAAAAACTGACTGCTGAATGAGATGTTCCTTTGTGCTCAAGCTCATAAAAACCCCCAACGCACAGCGCTGTGGTCTGCTTCAAATTATCTTCTCCTTCCAGAGGTCACGCCTGTCTCTGACCCCGTGTCTTGCGTTTTATTTTATTTTCTTCTTCTGCAGCACCAAGCAGAGTAGAGAAAAGGAGGGGATTTTGACTAGAAATAATTTGAAACAGTTAAATAAAGAATGTTGAACTATATTTAAAACTGTAATTGAACTTCAACTTATATCCATTATCTGATTCCAGTGGCCAGTTGGAAACAGACAATGACAAAGTTTTCATCCTGCATCAATCGTGCAAAAAGGTCCAATCACCACTATGTCTGAGCCTTGTCCCATCTGCTTTGTTTCGGAATGTGTTCAATACATTAGGTTATTTTATTTTCATTATTACCATACAATACATAGATTAAGAATAAATGAAACAAATAATACAACATTGACCTATTTGAGCAGACAGATGACCCGCAGTGATGCCTCTGAGGTTCCCGGGTGTAAAACAGGCTTTTTTGCTATTTATTTTCCTTTTGCGGAAATTTAGATTCATTTTACCTTGGCTGTGGACTGATTCATTTATTAGTTGTTAGAAAGCATGCACAAGACGGCAGGTATACAAACAAACACGAAACAATTATACAAACAAACATGAACCCGCAACAAATATCAGGTGACAGCTAAACTCATCTAGTTTAATTTTAATCCGAATTAGGGAAACTTCAGCGGGGGTAGGGAAATATCAGTACTTATTTTGAAAAAAATTTTTTTTTTAAAAAACAAAATCCAATTCAATAATCCGTACATTTATTAAACACAGTGTGAATGTAATATTCTGCCACCACCCTTCCCATTTAATAGCTCAATTTAGTTCTTGAGCTTATGGTGTGATTAACAGAAAATACAAGTCTGTGTTGTTAAACATTCCTCGTGTGCCGTTCACCACAGGGGGGGAGGGGAATTCTGTTGATGAGCAATAAACTACCTTATTCTCAATCAAAACCACTATGCAAATGTAGTGGTAAAACTGCTCAACCGACCGAGAGCAGAGATATTAATTAATTTAATTAATTCTAAGAACGGAATCTGCTGAAGAGTAATAACCACATTATTCTCAATCAACAACCACTATGCTAATTTAGTGGTGCTCTGCCCTCCCCGATCCGGAGAGCAGAGACTTTTAATGAATTCAGTACCCTTTATTTTAACAACAGCCAAATTCAACAACCCCTCAGTTTATGAAACACAGCGTGACGTAATATTTCGTATCACGTTTCCCGTTAATAATAGTTCTGTTTAGTTCCAAAACTCATAATGGTGCGATTTAAGAAGATACAACACTGTGCTTTGTTTCTCCTCGTGTGTGCTGCTCCCCACAGGGGGGGGGGGGGGGGGATTACCCACACCCTGCACCCTGCAGCAGCAACAGGAAAATTTCGAGGCGAGTTGATTTAACTAGTTAAACCGTTGAAATCTCCAGAATTCGGCGATTCGTTTCAGTACAAATCTTTACATTGCTTTTAAACCGAACTTCCACATTACTGATGCCCTCTTTAAGGTCTCTCCGAATATTTGCCGTGCACACACACAGAGGAAACCAAAAATATTGCATCTATCTGTTCCACAGGTAATTTTATACCGTCAATCACAGAGTCTGGCGAGGCAATGTCAAAATATAGATTTGAAATTACACTCACCAGCTCGACGATTTGTTGGTAACTGTTCGCGACGCCAAAATGTGAAGTAAAAACTTCTTTGCAGCAATGTTGAGCGCATCATCAAATGAGGGAAACTGGATTCGCCTGTCAATACACTGATATTTATTGAGAGCCTCAGCGGCCGGAGATCATCCTAGTTTCACACTGTCCTTGTGCTCCACCAAGGTAATCTCTGCACCAAAAGACACAAAACATCTAACCAACACGAGGAGAGGCGGGCTCCCAGAAAGCCCGCGTATAATCAATAGCCGATGCGAGACAATGGTCTGCTTGTCTCAAAGAGATGCTGCCAGGTCAACCCACGGACATAGGAGAAGCGTTTGACCTGTGACCTCAACATCACAGAGGAGTCTCTGACTGACTACAAGCAGATGTTTGCAGTATCACAGATTCTATAAAACAATAAGAAACTCTATAAACAGATCAGATGAAAATATTCTCTTACACTTATAGCTTTCATTTCAGTACTGTTATTGCATTGGAGAATAATACAATCTGTTGATCAACTTGACATGCATTATATGCAATCTGGATTGCATCGATATTAGCTGGCTTTCCATTTTTGTATATTCTTTCTCCAGGTAGTTGGAAAAAGTTTTCCGTCCCATATGCCGTGTGCCGCCCGGACATGCTATCATGCTAACTAGCTCCCTGAAAGCGGGTGACTCCACTGTAGCAATAGCCTGCATGTGTTCTACAACATACCGTGCAATGGCTTTATCGACTTTTCCCTGGCCAGCAGTCCTTTGGTTAAAATCCAGCCGCTGTTGCTTAGGTGGAGGTGGAGTGGCGTCGGCTGAGTCTCTGTGGTCTTAGCTACTAGCTTCGCCCCAGCATGTTGTTTTTGCAGATGTTTTAAGAGATTTGAATTACTGGTTTGGGCAGTAGATAGGATATTTGACCCGCCAAGACACAACTTACATTTAACTAAAACGTTCTTTTCTTTGTGCTCGACAAAAGTGAAATAGTGAGAATATCTCCAGGTGGAGAAACTAGACTTGAGCTCCGCCGCCGCCATGACAGTCTTGTTAGTAAACAACACAAATACGCCCACAGCCCATCTCCGCATGTGACACAGGAAGTATCTAAGTACATTTACTCAAGTCATCTCTGTTCGCCTGGCTGTTGACTATATAAAAAAACTAACGGAGTAACGCACCATGTAGTAACGGTAACTGAGTTACTGAATTTAAAAAGTAATGCGTTAGAGTACTAGTTACTGCCAAAAATAATGGCGTTACAGTTACTGTTAAACGAGGCGCATCTCTCTCTCTCTCTCTCTCTCTCTCTCTCTCTCTCTCTCTCTCTCTCTCTCTCTCTCTCTCTCTCTCGACAGCCCGTCAGCATCAGGGTTAGTCAAAATGAATCCCTTGGCGGTTCTAGTGTTCATTTACTGTGTTGTCTTCTCTTTGCTTAATCGATTTGAAACCAAGTCTAACGTAGCTTAAACTTAACGTTAGCTTTCTAGCTAACACAACACATGCTCGCACCTTTCTCTGTGGTTTTTTTGTAGTGACGAATGAAGTTGGATGTTGTGGTGGTCGTGTCACTGATCTTTATGCTGCAGACCCTGCATACCGCTGTTCTCTTCTTATTACCGTCATCGACAACATAATCCTTGAATCCAAACTTCACTATTTGTGGAGTGACGCTAGCCGCTGCCATGTTAACTGAGACTCCTGCCTTCTAGTGGGTTGCCAGGTTTGCGCGCATGGGGCTATAATCAAGTTTTTCGAAAAAACTAAACGTAATATCTCACTACAAAAACAAACGCAAATATTTTTATTTTAAACAGTCAAGTCCTTTCAAGTCATCTATCTCAAGCTTAAGTCAAGTCTCAAGTCATGAATACCAAGTCAAAGTCAAGTCAAGTCTTTTAGTTTTATCAATGTTAGTCAAGCAAGTCTCAAGTCAAAACATATGCGACTCGAGTCTGACTGGAGTCAAGTCCATAGACTGTATAAAGGTCAAGTCATGTGACTCGAGTCCCCACCTCTGGTAGGAATGCTCGGTTACAATAAAAAGTCCTGCATTCAAAATGTTACAAGTAAAAGTGCAAAAGTATTAGCATCAAAATATAGTTAAAATACCACCTGCAGAGGGATCTAGATTCAGGTGTTCTTTTCCCCATGGAGACCGCCTGGCTGCACATTATCCCTTGCATAAAGATAGATTGTGGGTCCCTCATAACATGTTGTACACAGTGGAAATAAACATTCTGGTCACCTCAACATCAGGGATCTTATACATTAAACTCCTTCTGAATCAAACCGTCACGGTAGCCTTACCTTACTTATCCCTCTTAAAATTGAAAAAAAACAACCCCCAGTCTGCAGAAATGTGCCGATGCCAAGAGTATCAAAATAAAACGTACTTTTCAAAATAAAAGCATCTAAAAAATAAAGTGGCAGTTTTACAAAGAAAGTATGGACAAAAATGATTTTACTGATAAATAAATACGTGAAGTTATACATCGGTTACATCTAGATATTTTTTTACTGGCGGTGGAGATATAATTAAGTATTTACTCAAGTTCTTTACTTCTTGTTCAAATTTCAGGGACTTTACTATGAATATTTTCATTGTATGCAACTTGTACTCCATCTCAGAGACAGATTTTGTACTTTTGACCAAACTTTATTTATATGCCAGTTTTAAATACAGATCAGAAATTGCTTCCTCTTTCCTTATAGTTATACCCTGTATCTCTATAGATGATTTTTGAATGTTTCTGATGAGCTGAATCATGAAGTGTTCCTTAATGTGTTGAGGACATACTCCTCTTCCTTAAGCTGAAACAAGTATTTAAAAAAGATTCTATACACACTATTACTCAGGCAAAGGATACTAGTACTTATTGCACCACTTGCACTATTGTTAGTACTTCTGCTTTTACATTGTGCTACTGGTTAGCCTACAGCATCAGCTTCTGGACAAAATGGGTTTAACAGCAGAAATGGTCACAAAAAGTTCATTAAAAAAACCTTAATCCGTGACAGTTATTGATGTAAAAAAATTGTAATGACATGCTCTGTGGTTTCATTTGTTTGGTTAGTTGGTGGTAGCGTACAGGTTGTTTGGATCAGCGGAGGCTCAATCAGAAGAAGAAGCTTTCACAGTGCTGTAGGTCACTGTATCACCTTCATCATCATCATCATCATCATCACCATCATCATCATCATCATCATATAATAACCATCAACCTCAAAGCTAAAGGACAACACATACATTTCACTTATAAAAGGTTGTAATAACGGCAGTAAATGCAATGTCAGAGCCTTTTCTTATCAAGCTCCACATTTGTGGAATCAGCTTCCAGTTTATGTTCGGGCGGCAGACACCCTATCCGTTTTTAAGAGTGCGCTTAAGACCTTCCTTTTTGATAAAGCTTATAGTTAGGGCTGATTAGATTCAGCCCCTAGTTTTGCTGATATAGGCTTAGTTTGTCAGGGGACATCTTACTTCTTCCTTCTCTCTGTCTATACCTGTGTACTCTCATGTTCCGATTAACCCAGCTTCCCCAAATGTCTTTCTTTTTGGTGTTCTATATACGCCGGGATCCGGAGTCATGGATGATCCTGCGGTCCTGTGTCCTGGATCGCGAGCTCTGGATCTTGAGTCGTGGCTGTGGTCCTGGATCATGAGTCCTGGATGGATATCCTCGTGGATCCATCTTCCTATTGTACACACATGCATTTCCAAACATTTGGACTACCTATGTTGCAAATGTATTATCTTTTCAATGTACACACGGCATCTATTGCACGTCTGTCCGTCCTGGGAGAGGGATCCCTCCTCCGTTGCTCTCCCTGAGGTTTCTCCCATGTTCCCTTTAAACTGTGGGTTTTCTCCAGAAGTTTTTCCTTGTACGATGTGAGGGTGTAAGGACAGAGAGTGTCGTGTTGTCATACTGATATTCTGTACAAACTGTGAAGTCCACTGAGACAAATGTAACATTTGTGATATTGGGCTATATAAATAAACATTGATTGATTGATTGAATGTTATGATATCCATGCAACACAATGCTCATGAAACAACTTCACTATATCATGACTTTAACAGAAAGCTTACCTGGGTTTTTAACCTTCGATTCGGAGAAACAAATACTTTTTTCAGAGTTTAGACACTACAGAGTTTCCGAAGACATTACACTACCCAGAATCCCCAGCTATCGTTTGGGACTACAACATCCACTTTGCTTTACAAACCCCGTGATCAGTCCTCAAGCTCTGTGATTGGATGTTGGAGTGGCAGTGCGACAAGGTTACACCGAGCGTCAAACAGCTCTTTGAAGTGAAATGGAACCACGGCAGACTATCCAAAACTGGACTTGGACGGGTCCAGCCCCTCCCCCCCCCCCCTCCCCCCACCAGAATTACACATGCTGGCTATTGTGTGTTTCGCAACATGTCTCTGGGAATTGTTTTAAAAGACGTTTTCGTATTTCCCACAATTATAAGTTGCCAGTATTAAACTGTATACATCCCTGGAGGTTTAGGGGATACAAAACACATTGGTGTTATCAAATTTAAAACATATAATTAATAAATGGGTGAAAATTGCTTGTGTTCATAATGGGCAGCATTAATATACCCACATGACAGCTAAGGTCAGAAGAGCTTTATTTAACAGCTGGTCTTATGTCTGTGACCCCTCCTGTTGTTCATTGATAAGCCTGAAACAAGCACTTGTATAGGTTCAGACGCAACATTTGCAAATATGGTAGAAGCCATCGATCATCTTAAGATAAGATACTTTATTGATCCCAAGTTGGGGAAGGTTTTTGTTACAGCAGCATGTACTACTTTGTTCTACTCCACTACAATTCAGAGGTTAACCTGGTATTTTTACTCCACTACATTTATTTTAGTTACTTTGCAGATTCTGATTAATGATGTGAAATATAAACAACCCTTAAATCAGACTTTAGTTACACCTGAGTAAAATTCAGGGAAGGTGATTGTCAAGTGCCAAAATAAACTATGCAACATATTAGACGTTAATTACTTTGTCAGACTTCATATTTATCTGTGGATTACCCCAACGTTTTTTTCTTATTCAAAAGAAAAAGCCTTATCAGTTTGTCTGTTTTTCACATCCTCCTGTTAATATCTTTGGACGTCCTGCACTAAACTGTTTTATTGTAGAGATCACTACAGTATCTTCTTGATATTTTCAATTTTGTATGTAGGCTACTCTTAATATTTCAATGTTTTCATCAAATAAAACGTATTCAACAACAACATTTAATAACGTGCTTTAACCACTAGGCGGTGTGGGTTAAAAAAACAGTGGTCTATTTAATAAAACATAATAATATCAAACATAATATGACTATTCACTTTATTGTGAAATTAAAACAGAATGGTAAAGGAAAATACAGTTTCAGTCTCTCGATGTGAAGCTTATGCATTGTACCATGAACCTGTGTAGACCTGTAACAGTCAACTGCATGAGGAGTTGGAAAGGTAGTTCAGAAAATCAGCAATGTCTTTAAAAACTACAACAAAGTCCCTTTCTATCAGCTGTGCACCGTTATGGTGTAAATACAGACTATCTACTAATTGGATCAAATATAAAAGTCAGCCAAATTAGTGTTGATACTGCAAGGAGACGTATTGTGTGAAAATAAATGGAAGATGTTGTTTAATTGCTGATATATTTATGATTCACGACACATATTCGGTTTCGGCGGCAGTTCTTCCTGTTTGTCCAGAAGTCTTCTGATCAGGGCTCTATAAATAAATATCTATGGCAGATGTAAGAGAATATTTTCATCTGATCTGTTTATAGAGTCTTTTATGGTTCCTTAGAGTCTGTGATACTGCAAACATCTGCTTGTAGTCAGTCAGAGACTTCTCTGTAGGTTGAGGTCACAGGTCAAACGCTTCTCCGATATCCGTGGGGGGGTTTGAGATCTAGCAGCATCTCTTTGAGACAAGCAGATCATTGTCTTGCATCGGCTAATTGATTATACGCGGGCTTTCTGGAAGCCCGCCTCTCCTCGTGTTGGTTAGATGTTTTGTGTCTTTTGGTTCAGAGATCGCTGGTGAAACACGGGACGGTGTGCAACTAAGTGATCTCCCCGGCCGTTATTGTCTGTACTGTGATCAATAAAACTCTTCAGTGCTTTTGGCTAACAACGGTTCCAGACTCCTTCATTCTACCTCAACATTGCAACAACAGAAGTTTACCTTCACATTTTGGCGTCTACGAATAGGATGCCGAGATTTCTTCAGAAGGCTGGTAAGTGCTTTTTTTCAAATCTATTTGAACAACTGCCTTACCAGACTCTGTGATTGACGGTATCAAAATTATCTGTGAAACTGCGCGAGTGCAATTTGTTTTGGTCTCTCCACTGTACATTTGAAGGCTTAATTATAACCTGAGGAATCGGTGTCAAAAGGGGATTTCTATCTTGGCCGGTTCTTCCTGTGAATGCTGCTGGGGCAAGTGCCAACAAAAGCAAGCACAGCTCATGTATAAACAATAAGAATATTTGGGGCTAATAAATAACCTCGGAACATCGACTTTTAACGATTTCCGCTGTGTGTGGTTTCTAGAATTAAATTACTGGACAATCACACACTGCAAATATTCGGAGAGACCTTAAGGAAAGCATCAGCAAGGTGGAACCTCTGTTTTAAAAAAAAAAAAAGCAATGTGAGGATTTGTAATTGAAACAAATTGCCGAATTCTGGAGATTTCAACGGGTTTAAATCAGACCAATCCGTTTTCGGGTGTCTGCTCAGGCCTGCACGAGGGAGGGCGAATTCCCCTCCCCCCCCTGTGGTGAGCGGCACACGAGTAATGTTTAAGAACACAGACTTGTATTTTCTGTTAATCACACCATAAGCTCAAGAACTAAATTGAGCTATTAAATGGGAAGGGTCGTGGCAGAATATTACGTTCACACTGTGTTTAATAAACTAACGGATTATTGAATTGGCTGTTGTTTAAAAAAAAAAACCAAAAAAAAAAAAACCACTGAATTAATTAAAACAATCGCTGCTCTCGGTCGGTTGAGCAGTTTTACCACTACATTTGCATAGTGGTTTTGATTGAGAATAAGGTCGTTTATTGCTCATCAACAGATTGAATATGGCTGAGAAGAGCCCATATTAAACAGATATTTCAGTGCTCCCGTTGACGTTTTCCGTAATTCTCGGACTAAATTAAACTGGATGATTTTTTGGCCAGGGCACTGATTTTGTTGCGAGTACATGTTTGTTTGTCTAATTGCAGTGTTTGTTTTATTGTACTAACCGTTAAACATGGG